TAAGTCAAAGTACCCGGTACAGCTCGGGACCGGGCTCCCGATCAGTTTTACTTTGAAACAAAAAACAAAGAAAGCCTTGCTACTTAGTTGCGGCGGCGTCGCTCGGCTCGGCCACACCCTCCTTGGGGTCCTCTTTGGGGTTGAACGGCAGCGGGCCGGGGTCGGCAATTTCGTTTGGAAGGGTTGATAAGACCAGCTCGAGATCTTCGCCCTCGAGGGCCTCTCTCAGATAGGTCTCCGTCTTTTCGCGCATTTTTCGCTGGCCGGACTTAAACCCCCAGCGGCCGAACGCCCAGATTAATTCTTCCCCGACCGTGGTCCTCTAGACCTCCCGGAGGAACTTCGTCCCGGACGCATCATCCCGAAAGAGGAACTTTGCCAGGTCTCCAAGGTTGGCCAATCGGGCCTTCAGCGTCTTGGTCTCCCCAAGAGCCTCCTTGGCTGCCTTCTCGGCCACCTCCTGAGCTCCCTTCGCAGCTCGGGCCGCTTTCTCGGCCGTATCTCGCTCCCCCTTGACCTTCTTTAGCTCGGTCCGGAGGTTGGCGTTCTCTTTTTGCCGCTGCTCGGCGACCTTTTTCAAGGTGTCAGCCTCGTTGGCTAGCAACGCTTGCCGTTGAAGAAGCTGGGTCTCCCGGGAGATCTGCAAGATAAAGAAGACGCTCGGGGTTAGCCTGAGCGGAGGAACTTGCATAAATTTAAGAAGACAAAATATTTACCTCAGCCATGTCTAGGCCAATCCATTCAGCCACCTGGGTCGGGGAGAGCTTGCTCAGATCTTCCTTGATCGGCGCAACATTGCCGATCCGCGTAAGAGCGGAGGATTCGCTCTTGATAGCCCCGGCCGGCGGGCTCGAGCTTCGTTGCTCCCTCCGGTGCTTCAGCGCGCCGCTATCCTCTGACCCCTTCTCCGTCATCTTGCCCTTGCCCTTGGGGGCAGTCACCCGGCTGATAAGGACCTCGGAGGCGTCCACCACGTAGCCCTCGGGGGTGGTGACGGTCGTTGATGCGCCGAGTGGCTTAGCGGTCTGGATTTGTTTATCCCCGACCGGGTTGCCTTTGATCTTCTTCTTCCCAAGCACGATCTTAGGCTTGGGAGCTCGGGGTGCCTCATCTTCTTCAAAACCTGCCATATCTGCAAACAAAGATAAATTGGTTAGGTCGAAGTCGTAAAGGGGTCGGGGACGATCGGTTAGTGTTAGACCTTCGTTCCCTGCTTCCGCCTGTGTAGCCGCCATCGCTATTGTCACGCCCGGGATATGAACATATTTTTCCTCCAAGTCATATCTTGGGGATGGCAGTCGGGCTTCGTCATAGCTTTCCTTTGAGCGGAAAATCTTGTACTCGTAAACTTCGCTCGAGATTTTTGTGGCGACGTCTATGAGAGCTTTGGTCTCGACTGGCACCACTTGCTTCCTGTAGTGGCTGCTCCATGTCCTCTCGACCAGGAGGATCCACGGGTCTTACTCGATCGAGAAAAGCCGGTTTTTCCATCCCTTGTTGTTCCCAAGGAGGCTCTCGATCGCACACATATCGGCCCGGGATTGTATCATCAGGAACCCGCCCCCGTATTTGGCCGGCAGGGTCTTCACCTGGTAGATGAAGTTGAAAACTTCCACCGTGCACGCTACCTCGTGCCGAGCGCATATCTGCGGGAAACACGCTAAGATCCTATGCGCGTTCGGGCAAATCTGGGCCGGGACTACTCGGTAATAGCCCAGGAAGGCGGTCAGGAGGGCGGAGAAGGGTATTTGGATCGGGGCCAGGAGCGAGTCGTAATGCATCCCGATCCATTTGCCTTCGTGCCTGTCTATGATGTTCCCTAAGCTACGGCTAACGTCGAATCGAACTCGGCCGGTGAGTAGAGCAGAGATCCTTGTGGCTTCCGCTTTTGTCAGCAAGCTATATTGCTGCTCGACGCTGTCTCGGTTCAGGAAGACGAACTCTTCGTTGGTCGGGGCGGGCGGCGCGGCCGGGTCTTCCTCGACCGGCTCCTGTGTAGCCTCCCGATCGCTAGCCTGAGGAGCGGGCTCAGGGTAATCCCCAATTACCCGGGTCGGCGTTTCCCGAACGCCACCCGTCGGGGAGCTTCGTCCGCTCGTTGATGTACGACCGCTCCTGCTGCTCGAGCTACCTAATCCGCTCGAGCTTGACGTCCCTTCGGAGCTGGATGACCTTCGTTTTTCGGGCGTCGCTCATGGTCGTTGGGCGGCCTCTGGCGAGTAGGACATGATGTCCACTTCCTCGCTGATTTCTTTGACTGCGTCGTCGTAGTCCGCGATCGATACGTTCTGACTATCCGTATCCGACATGGTGACTACCTAGAGGGTGGTCGGGACGTTGTTAGGGTCGGGTACGACCCGGTTATGGATGGTTAAGGCCTAAAGGTGGCTATGAAAGGAAATGTAAAGCAGGAGTTTAAAAAGCTAAAAGAGCCAGGGACTTACCGATTGGTTGCTGTTCGCGGAGAATCTGGAAATCGTAGCTAGTCCGACCGAAATTCTGATTGGCTCGCTCGGGATGCACCGATCGATTCGAGAAGGTTGGTAAAAGTTCAAATGAACTCCATGAAGGCCTATTTATAGGAGAGCATCTGGGCGGGAAACGATCCACTTGCCCGATGTGACCAATCCAGACTCCGAGGCGACTGTTGCGGTCGCAGAGGCGTGCAGAGCTCGACACGTGGCGCGGGGGAATGACAGCTGTCCGGTCGGTTTTGGCAGCGGACGTTTGGGCTTCTTCACCCCGTCCCGTTTTTTCCCGGGCGGTCAAAAAGGCCCGGGCTGGGGGGGCTCTTGGTAGGGAATACCCCGACCGACATGCCTTTGTCTTTTATTCTTGTTTATGCAGGTTACAGGTCGGACTTTCTTAGAAGAATCCGGTCGGAACCGACCGGATTGATGCCTGACCAAGGTCTTCATTACCCGAGCGAGAGCCCTTAGGCGAGAGAACCAGGAGGAAGCACGTGGCAGCGTTAGGCGTTGACAGGCAGGGCTAACGGGGAGAAGACACGTCATTGCTAAGTGGGTGACATGCCGGACGGCCGGACTTGTGTCTCCGGCCCAGCGGCTATAAATACCCGCGGTGGCAACAGTGTGGGGGGCTTTTGGACGATCGATAGGTTGTTATTAGAGAATTCCGACCGCAGTCAGTCGGTACTCGGAACAGCCACTTAGATTGTACTTAGGGCCTTCACCTTGATCAATAAAAGACATTTAATTGCTTTAATTGGTCTACTTATAGTTTATTTACCGCTTACGTGGCAATTAACACTATCATAACCAAAATATGAGATAATTATTAATATTGCTAGGGCGCGGCAAAGTAAGAAATTAACAATATTATCTTTTCCTTAAATTTGTAGCTCTTCTCTAATGTCATTTGCCAAACATTCTTCGCCAAGTTACTACCCTAAAAACATGGATTTGTTGTCTCAATAACTTCATCATGGTTTTCTCTACCACTTCGGTGCAACAAAGCATTTGAAAGGATACAGTGGCCGATATAATCTTATTTAAAAGAAAAAAGTCTCCTGTCAGTAAAGAACAATATTGACGACACTTTTAGTAATGTGCATCAATATTGAGCAGTTTTTTTTTTTTTTTTGGGGGGGGGGGGGGGGGGGGGGGGGAGGGGGAGGGTAATGTTTTGCATGGCTGGACTAACATATGAGTTTTTTAAATCTTTGACAAAAATGTTTGGTATCCTTATATTTGCCATTTACAAACTTGTAACTTCATGGTTTTTATTTTTGAAAGGTTCATGGTTTTTATTTTTGAAAGGTTCATGGTTTTTATTGTTAAGATATTAAATAAAAAAGAAAAAATAAAAAAGAACAATCTAATTAAAACTTCCCAAATAAAATACACCAATTTCTAGAGATATGATATTTTAGGACCTATTTTCCATTTTACTCATAAATTGCAAGATATATATTTTCAAACCATATTTTTCAAAAAGGATATATAATATTCGTATTTAATTTTTACTTCTTCATCATAAAGTTGGATGAGTTTCCCTATTAATCTTTTGTAGGCCACCAGTGCCATTTACCCAAGGATACATCTAGATTGGTAACTCTGTTCATGTATAATAATTTATAAATTATATAACCTCAATCAGTTTTTTTAAAAAATAAATATAACCTCAATAAAAAAAATGTGTTTATAATAATTAACTCGTGAGCTTTTGATAAGTGACTTATGTTTCACTCACTCGTTCACTTCTTTTTTAACTAATATTAAATTTTGAAAAATATTTAGCGTCTTAACATCTAGTCATCTACCACTTCCTCTCACAATATGTCAAGTTTTAATATGTTTTTTTTTAAGAAAAAAAATTAAATCTTAACTAATGGATCTCAATCTTGTAAGTGTTGTAAATCAAATAGTGGTTGTCACATCTCTCTAGTGAATCATATTAACTATTTAATCACATTCCTTTATGATAAGCCACATTAACCATTTAACAATATCACTCCATTTGTAAGCCACGTTGCTATAATTGAGTCGTTTAACCACATCTTTTCATAGTAAGTCACGACTTCAATTGAGTCGGAACTGAACTTGGCCTACTAAGCCAACGCTAACATTAACCTATTAAAATTTATAACGTCAAAAATGTTAAATTTGTGAGTGGTATATATAATATAACTTATTCAATATTTCAATTCCCTTTAATTTTTGGAGCATCCACGACAGTGACTTTCGCAAGTCACAGTCAACCAAAGCATAAATAAATTCAACAAGGACGCCAAAAAACAAGATTGATTCGAAGTTCGAAATTCTCATTTCTCTAATTTTCTTCTTTTCTCTGCGTTTACACAAATTGATTCGAAGAATCATTTGAAACGAGGACAGTATCAGGATGAATGAAGTATTATCTTCTCTGTCCTTCAACGCCACCTTCTCTATCCAAATTCCCGCATACCAGTTTTCCCGCGCAATTTTCTCAGTATTTGCCGCCGTACCGCAGAATTACTCACTCGCCGAGCTTTTGCAGCAATGGCGTCGTGCTCCTCCCAAGTTCCGTCGCACAAGGTGAGTTTTCTCGGTTTGGTGTCATCACCGAGAACTCAGATTATTGAAGAGCTGCACGGCTCTCAAAAGAAGCATGCTTCTGAAATCCTGTTGCGTTCACGTTTCGATGTTTAAATTCGGTAGAGCGTATGCGTGCGGATATACATTACGTTATTCTGGTGCCAACTTGTGCAGGTTTACTGATGATTTCATTTCTGATGAGTTTGATTGAATCAATGCTTACTTATCGGGCGAAAATTGAAGAGGGCTTTGGGCCGAACAACCTTGGAATTCTGTCAATTTCAGATGTTTTAGGGTAAATGATACTTACACAGTACATCTGTTAATCTTTTAGATAGAAAGTTTTAATTGTAATTTGGCTGTCAGATTATTGAAGCTGCATTATCAGTATGCTGTCAGCTTGTTATATGTGTTTTGCTTTCTCATCCTTTTTGTTTTTGTAGGTTCCTGAGTATACTTTGTTGCGTCCAAACCTACTTCTTCTTTCACCTAGGTAAGAATATATTCTTGACCTGCAGTTCTGCACCATAGATATATGTGATGTTTTATTTGGATATAACATTATAAATAATTTTTTCTTATCAGATTAGCCAACCTGCCAAAAAGTGTGAAACAGGAGCTGGAAGATCCTCATAGTAGGTAACTTAACTTATCCCATGATCAATCCTTAAATCATAGTGTTTTTTTTTTTTTTTTTTTTTTTCATTGTTCTATGAATGAATGCATTGCTATTCTCTAATATTTGGTTGTTTGTTCGGTTGTTCCATCTCTAATAGCTGCCATCCTCATGCTGTCTGAAGTGTACTCCATATGCAAGTTTGTGCTTGGGGATTTTATTTTCCTTTATTCACCATTTAATCTTAGATTTGATATGGCCTTGGGACTTAATGCCAGGTATAACTTTGGATGGAGTCGTGGAAAAGAGAAGCTTGAATCTGGAAAGCCAGGTAGAATTGACTGTTCTTGTAATGGTTGAGAAAGAGGACATCATAGAATTCACTTGAGAAGTTTTACATGTCAAAGTTATTATGTGATCATTACAATTTACAACACGTTGGTGACTAACAAATGAAATAAAAGAACCTCCAATAGAGGGCATTTCATCCCTTTTATCTTATAATGAAATATTAAGTTGAATGGATTGTGATAAATTTTTCGGCTTGTGGCAATATTGCTACTTTTTTTAATATATAAAAAAGGGGCTTTGAAGCAGTAATTATTTTACTTTTACTTATAATCTTCATTAGTGTGTGATACACACATGGCATGCATATGCACCATCTAATTATCTATGGATGTTTTCTATAAATTTATATGCATCACATATTATGTTTAACACTTTAACCTGCTCTCTGCTGTTTTTTGAAACTTTACATATATTTCATGTTTCCTTGGACTTTCTCACTGCTACTTGATGTTTATTACACAGATACACTGAAAGGATCCTCCTATGCAAATCCAGTATTTGATGTGCCTACAACTGAGAAATCCCTTATTGAACGGTTAGATTTCTTCTTTAATATCCATCATACCTCTGATTAATTTCCATGTATCAAAGCTGTAAAAGTTTTGCATGTCACCTTTGAGTTTCTGCAGTTATATATTTCATATTGCTTAAAGATTATGTTCTTTTCTATCCTTGTGAAGATTATGTCTTCTCTGTCCTTCTAGATATTCATCATATTGCGGACGAAATATATGGCCCCATAGAGCTCTGCGAGAACTTGAGATGGGTATATTTTATCTATTCATCTATCTATAAAGTCAACATTTACTTATTTGCATTGCACTTTTTTGGTCTATTTCAAATACAAATTTGCTTGATACTTGATTACAGATGGTATCTCTACCCCATTCAATGTTGTTGATAGAACAACAACACCTAAATAGTCTATATTTTCATAGGCATCATATGATCCTGTTTTAATCAATCCTTGTACTGTAGAGGTTAATTTGACATCAATGTTTAGCATAGTTATCATGGCGTCGCCTAGGCGTCCTGTCGGTGGAGACAGGACGCCTGGAGGCTTCGCCTCGCCTGAAAATGGTGAGGTGAGCTCCGGCGTCGCCTAGGCATCCCAGACGGCGCCAAGGACGCCGATTCGGCGTCCAAACCCATAAACCCTACCCATTTTTAACTTTATTTTTTTAAAAAAAAAAATGGTATCACTGCGTCGGCGACTTCCCTCGAACTGACAGAGAAGAAGAAAGCCAATCCAGTGACCCATAGCCACCGCCGTCGCCCTCCCACCGCCGTGGGTCGTCATCGGTGCTTCTTTCTTCGTCTTTTCTCTTCTACTTTCTTCTCCCACTGCCGTCGTCGACTGCCATTCTTGCTTTTTTTTTTCTTCCTTTTCCTTCTTTCTTTCTTCTTGGCTTCATCGTTCAGACTTATTTACTTTATTACTCCTAGAAAGTTGTAGCCTTGAGAAAAGGAAGAGTTTTCTGCTTCTGTTTGTAAATGAAAGCTACTGCAGCTACAACTTCCTAGAGTATATAATAAATAAGGCTGCCTATTTCCAACAAAATATATATATAATATATATATAATGTGCTGGCAGTGCACTGTGCTGCACTGCTGCCACATATATTATATATAATTAATTCTTCCCAATATATATTCTCATAATAATAATAATATTATTATTATTATTAGTATTATTATTATATATATTACTCATCGCCTAGGCGTCGCCTAGGCGACAAGGCGGTCTGCGAGCGCCGCGACTTAAAAGGGCGCTGTGATAACTATGATGTTTAGCCAATTGTTGGTTCTGCAATTAGGTTTTTTTGTCCATGAATCTTAAACAGTTTTGATAATACTAAATATCTAAATTTAAGGAAAATTTATTCTTTCTTCATTCTTTTATTTGGAAAGTTATTTGGGTAAAGCTCGTGATTAGTTGACACATATGAAGACATGAAGTATTTGTTAGTTTTGTATTTGCCAGTATGTTTCACTTTCTGTACAATGATAAGTAAATTAACTTAGGCATGGTGACATATTAATGCAGGAGGGCATTGAGTTAAAATTTTATTTCTTCTAACACAGATTTTTGAATTCCATTTACTTAATTGGTGCAGGATGAGAACAAATGAAACTGATGGCCTTGAACAGATGCTTTACTATTTCCCTGCCCAGCAAAGGTAATCTTATATTAAATTTTGTAATCTCTTCTGTACTAGTTATGCTGTTATGTTTTCAGTTTATGTTAAATGGCACTTGGCAGAAGACTAAACACAAAGTCAGAACAATGACCAAAGCTATTTAACAACTTAATTGGGCTTTTCTATTTTCCCAAAATGGTTAATTCAGTTGACTGTTGGCTTGAAGCTTTTATTGAAAACACTTTTTTTCCACCAGTTTCTTTTGTTTCGATTAATTTGTATTCACAATTCAGTGCTAGTTATCAACTACTATAAAATACACATATAAGACAAACTCTTTGTCCAAAATTTTTAAAGTCGTCATCTTTTTTCTTTATCGTATCGTCACCCGTTTGTGAATATTATAAAACGTCATATCTCAATATGGAATTTAGTCATTCACTAGAATTTTTTGGATGTTGAGATAATGGCCTTTGAAAATATTTGTGACTGTATGATTGATTTGTGATTTTATATTGTTTTTGTAACATTTATGAATTCTATTAGATTTCCTTTTTTGTTGGTCCTCTAAATCTCTTCAAAATATAATTTTAGTTTTGTATTTTCACCGTTTTAGAAGGAAGAACATGGATATGAGATCTCTATATTTATAATTTAATTAATTAATTATTTATTTATTTTAATTGTTATGGATTATTATTATTATTAATTTATTATTATTTTGCTGTAGCAACTAGCCGGCTACCAAGCTGATGAATCCATGTCATCATGGTGTGGTTGCATACTGATCATGGTTCACTGACAGGTAATCTAACTTCTAGAATTCCTCAGCTCCATTCTTTGCACTTATAAATTGATGGTTTTAATGGGATCGGGTCCATCATAAACTGGATGTATAATCATGTAACGAGATAAAATGGCGTACTATCACTGAGGGCGTGAAGCCCACAAGAGCATACACAGGCCCAACGGTAGGCCTAGAGTAACACGGTAAAGAAAACGAGCAATAAGGAAATGAATCGAATAATAACAAGGCACAAATTAAACTAACGATACCCGAAGTTGATCTCGTGACCAACCGCCAAAGAGAGAGAGATTCGAACCACCAGGCCAATCAGTATTGTCCTTCCTTTCTTCTGCCCCCAAAACGAATCGCGACCCCCCCTTTATATACTACAAGAGCACCCCTCCGGACCGGCCACGTGTGTGGTACTCGCGTCTCCCCTTCTATGCCATACACGTGCCACCCTCTCGCACGTCTCTACCGTATCCTGCGCGCCCACCTTCTCCCTCCACATACTTCGTGCCAACTGCGCCGCCCCATGCACCAATGAGCACGACCACCTCGTGCACGCCTGTGCATGTCCTGTAGTCTCCGCACGCAGTGTCCGCTGCCACCCGCACACGCGCAAGAAGCTGCCCCCTTGCATGCACCCATGCATGTAGGTAACCGCCGCCACTCCACGCACACCTATGTGGTGCAGCCCCCATGAGTGCATGGACCAAGCCCAATCCGATATATTCCATCATAAATATTTGTCACTTTTTACTGTACATTTCACATACCACTTAAAGGAGAAGACTGGATTAGAGGTGTTACATCACTTTTGAACCATTATAAAACTCTCTTTATCTATCTATTATATTATATATTTAATTTAAATTTTATGCTTACCAGACTTATTTTGATACAAATTGTTACTAAAATCAAAACTTGAAGTGTATATCATTCTTATACAAAAAATTAAAGAACGTATTTAAGATTTTTTTTAGAGTTATAAATTCAATTAATTTTATAGACTAAATAACAAGTTTTTAACATCACATTCAATGCATTCGGTTAACAAGTGAGTTCACATCGTCGTACTTATTTAGAAATTTCTATGCTATTTTCTTTTATTTGAAAGCCTTTTAAAATCTTCTCTTACCTCTTTTCTTTTATTTGAAAGCCAGACCAACCCTCTCCTAGTTTCCTAATCTTACTCTCCTAGTTTCCTAATTCGCCTAGTTTCCTAATCTTACTTTCCAAGTTTCCTAATTTTACTTTCCAAATCTAATCTGTCTTACCTATATAATACTTACTTCCCTAGGATAGGAGGACCATCTCAGCAATTAGCACTTTCGTAAAACACTCTTTTCATCACATCGCACTCTGTTTAATATGGCTTGTCAAAAATTTCAAACTCTTGGCTCAGGATCCTACGGCACTGTGTTTCTTGGCCGACTGCTTTCTTCATCTTCATCAACTGATTCGCCCCTGTTCGCCGTCAAGTCTTCAAAGCTAGAGTCTTCAAGCTCACTTAGGGTTGAAGGGCGACTCTTGAATGCACTCCGAGGATGCCCCTATATCGTCCAGTGTTTCGGAGAAGACACAAGCGTAGAACACGGAAGGGCTGTCTACAACCTTTTACTGGAGTATGCTCCGGGTGGGTCACTGGAGAACCTGATCAAGTCTCGCACTGGAAGACTCTTAGAATTCGAGGTATCTTTCTATGCTTATCAGCTTTTGAAGGGGATTCTGGACGTTCATAGGCGAGGGTTGGTTCACTGTGATTTGAAACCTGCGAATGTCCTTGTCTTTCCGTGTGGGTTTGGGATGAATCGTCTGAAGATCGCAGATTTTGGACTGAGTAAGGTGGCTGGAGTTAACATTTTTGGAGGTTGTCACCGCGGGTCATTGCTGTATACCTCGCCGGAGTCATTGGTTTCGGGGATGCACGAGGCGCCCAAGGATATATGGGCTATAGGTTGCATGGTGGTGGAGATGATTACCGGAAACCCAGTCTGGAGGTTCCGGGACAGCAAGGATGCGTTTCTAAACATATCATTCAAGAAACCCGAAATCCCAGAGGGCATATCGAATAGCTGCAAGGATTTTCTTGAGAGGTGCTTTGAAAGAAATCCCACTACGCGATCAACTGCAGCTGTTTTACTTAATCATCCATTTGTTGCGAACGAATTCAATCGACTGTTGGGGCAAAAGTTGGAGAAGGATCATCAAGTAATTGGAGGATGGAGTTCCAATGTTGGGCTGTTTTCGACTAAGGTTCCTACTTCTTGTTCCAGTTCCAGACAGCTTCTCTTTTCGAGGACGGAAAGAGATGTTGCTACTGTCGGACATTGATGATGTGTTCTGTTTCATGGTAAAAGTTTTAGGGGAAAGAAATAGGCTTATTTGTATAGAAACCTCATGAATCTTACTTGTACAAGGGCTTATTTGACCCTTGAATTCAATTTTGATTGTGTTAATAAATATTTTTTTTTTAGTTTCTGTTTTTCTGTTTTGCTCCTTTCCAGAACATAAGTTATTTAATTTTTGCAATATTCTCCTTTCCAGATACTATATGGATATATTCCCCCCTATGTTGTCACTTGAAGGATCACCTGTGGGGGTGACAAAAGATTGGACAGCAGTATTGGCTATCCTCAAGGATAATCTGCTGCATACAATTGTTAGATCCCCTTAGCTATTAAAGTATATTTTAGAGTTGTTTTTTTTTATCATTCTATTTATGGATTCTCCAACTTGATCATATTATATGTGAAAGATTATGATTTTTAATGTCCTAATATTCACTCACATTAAACAAAGAACACACATATTCATTGATCCATTTCTCTTCTTATAATCCTATTATTATGTGAAATGAAATTTAAATGAAGGTTTCACAGTTAATGTTTGAATATATGAAAGCAGATATCAATGTTACTGAAGTGTTTTAAATTTCTTGGCACAAATGATCTTTGTGGATTTACATTTACTTCCATTTCACTTTAAATCTGGTTGTTGTGTGCCCATGCTATATATAGAAAGCCATGAATAAGTTATAACTCTTTACTAGTTCATTTATCCATAAACTAATTTGATTTGATTGTGCATCTATTTCTATAAAAGTTTGCAATAGTTATACACTACTTATGCTGGACATGCCAATACACATTCGATCTCCAAAAGTGATATTGTGTTTTAACTTCAGCTAGACAATTCATCATCTAACAGACATTATATTGCTTCCCTAATTATTGTCTCTTTGGCTGATTTTGGCATTGAGTTTTTGAAGTTACGTTCTTAACTCGATCTGCTATCATTATATATATATATATATATATATATATATATATATATATATATATATATTGTTTTGCAGATCCACTATTACTACCTCCAGAATGTGTATGGTTGGTGACAGATTGGACTCCCAGAATGGGCCTATCCTTTCACACCTTTTCTTTGATTATTTGCAGATCAGAGGCTTCTATTGATCAAATTGGTGTGATTAAGGGGACGCTTGAGGATCTCAACAGGCGCTTAGGTCAACGCATTAATCTTCATAAGTCACAGTAATTCTGTTCTGTCTCTGCCAATTTTCATCAGAAAGTGTTGCACAACTATCAGGGATCCCTTTGACTTATGACTTAGGCCGGTATTTAGGTGTCCCATCGTCCTTGCACAGTAGAGTGATGAAGGGTACATACTCGACGATTCTTGACATGAATATGGTGGTGATTTAGGCCTTGCAAATAAAACATGTCGTATGTGCATCTTTTAAAAAGCGGTACGGTGATTTAGGCATGTGTAGGATGCAGCAGGACATGAATTTGGCATTTGTCATTAAGCTGGGATGGGTTGTTTACTTTGAGAAAGTGTTTCTAGACAACAGTTGTTCATAGTAAATACATGAATCATGGTACTGGAGTAGATGACATATATGGTCCGGTCCCTAAGAAGGGGGCCTCCGGCCAACGTTTGGCAAGGCTGGAACTAGCTAGCTAGGATGAATTGAAGTTACTACCAAAATGCATGTGTCCTTTGACAACTTGAATTGGGTCCATATGTTTTAACAGATGCTAGCTGTTGAAGAAGATTTTGAAATTGGATTCATACCTAGCTTTCTTTGGTTGGTTAAAGCATGAAATTAAAGACTGATTTCTAATTAATGTGGAAAGATAGATATATGGTGACACGGTTTTACTGCAACTACTGAAAGGTGTGTATCTATCTGCTATGGTGTTCTAGAGGAGGTTGATCATGTCCAAGCTGAGAGGGCATGAATTATATATGGAAGCTCAATGTTCCCAAGGCTGGGGAATGGATGGACTGATTGCCAAGCTAAGCTGTGTTTCCACATTGGTTAAACTCAAACATCTTGGGCAATTATGTCTGGGGATCGGAATAGGCTGCAGTGCTTGTAGTGATTGGTGGCGAAACTGATCGTAACTTAGAAGGTGTGATTGATTGAAAAATATTCATCCATTCTTAACAAAACATCAAGGGATTCATTCTTGACTTTGGGTATGAACTAGTCTGGTTAAAAAAAAAAGGTGTCTTTATGCACATTGAGAGGGAGTTGCATTACCAAATCCAATGGATTAAATTGCAATGCAACGAGATTCCGGAAGCTTTTGAAATGGGAGAAGCTGGTCAAATTATTTTATTGGCCGTAAATAAATATTCGTTTTTAATATATTAAAAAGTACTCGTATATTATTTGTGTACTTTTAAAAATTGAATATTCACTATATAAAAATGTACTTTATATCAAAGTTCACATTACAAGATGGATCATGGTCCATAGTATAATGATTCGAGAAGTCTCAGGTCAATTGTTATGCTGTGAGCACGTGCTCACCTTTATATCCATAATTTTTATACTGTATATCCATAATTTCTAGACTCTTGGTGAGCTAAAAATTATACTTTAAATTCATAATTTTAGCTCACCGAGAGAATAGAAATTATGAATATATAATATGGAAATTATTGATATAAATTCGTGAGCACGTGCTCACATCATAATTTGCCGTCTCAGGTGAGTTGGGCTAAACTCAATACAATTTGCTGCCATAAACTCGTGAATGGTCGAGTGGATTGGGAGGCATCCTAATTGAAAAATATAATATTTTTAGATTTAGTTATATCCTCTAATTAACTCAATCAGCTAACAACCATCTACCAAATAAGGCCATAGTGTCATCTACATGTATCTTAAATTCAAATAAATTCTTTCAAATAAATTGCATGATTGAACCATCTGAGATTTAAGTTAAGGTTGACCCAAAAAAAATATCAATTCGAAATGATCAAATGTGGAAAAACTTATAATCATACATCAAATATGAAAACCTGATAGTTAAAGCCCAAACGTGCATGATCTACAATACTCAAGTGAAATCATTATTGTGTGGAGCATAAATAAAAACTACATTATTTGAAAGTATATTATTTTGTATACTATCAAATAATGTATATTTAGTACACAAATAATATATATTTAGTAGATTTAAAATATATATCGCAATTAAATAAAGTACATTATTTGAGACTAAAAGTACATTATTTTATCATGTATATTCACTACACAAATAATGTATTTTTAGTATATTAAAAATGTACTTTTTTATAGACCACATAACACTATAATTCACATAATAATTTGCCACTCAAGTGACAAAAAATTTACAAAAAGATTAAAAAAAAAAAAAAAACCCTCCTATATTACAACAAATATTTATGCTAAGTTTCCCAATTCTGCTGAGCTGCAAGTCTGCAACATTCAGCTAGTAACTCCCCAAATTTCGTTATTATTGATTTATAGTAACATCTAAATCTAAAAACATTATATTTTTCAATATAATCTAGATTATGCTCATGATTTTTCAATACATGCTATTGTAATCTAGGGATATAAAGAAGACGAAATTGTCCAACTCTGTCAAAATTATTTTCATCAAAGTAATTAAATTTTACGATCATCAGCAAATGTCTTTTTTCTATATTAATATAGTTTAGAAGTTGTTTCTTTTGAATTTTTTATGAAAGAAGTCTTCTTTTTAGTATTTGTTTTTGTTGATAACTAGGTAAGTCAGATATGATAAGAGTAAGAATTTCAGAATCAACAATATGAATTAAGTGGCTAGAACAGATACTACATTGTAACAAATTCATTAGTACTCAAAAAAAAAATGAATTTCTTGTGGGTGTTTTAATAATTAAGGAAGAAATTAAAGATACAAATTCATCATGCAATGTCAATAATAGATATAAAAAAAATTATATGTATATTGTTTTACTGTGTCTCAATTGCATCATAATAATAACTATCATAAGAGTTATCAGAGTCATAATTTGAAATAGGATAAGTAGGGTTTAAGGCCGTAGATAATTCTCCTATCTTATAATAGATATGCGCATATTGTTGGTAAAATTTTACTTCAACATTTTTAATGTCTTGCCTTGGTAACTAGTTCCATAATTTCATCAATTAAAATTTCTAATTCATTTTTTTCAGTATCCTTTTCAATTGGTTCTTTTAATTTATCAAGTATTAATTGTTTTTTAGAGAATTTTAGATTTTGAACGTACTTTAAATTATGCATTGTTTGGTTGTTTAGATTTTGAACGTACTTTAAATTATTAGTGCAAATAAATAAATAATTATGTATGTTAGAGAATTAGAAAGTGTTCAAGTTTTCAAACCGAAATGAATCAAATCCGAACCGGAACTAAACTCTTTCAAACTAATTACAGCTATGTGATTATGAATGTGCAGTTATAGAATTATGAATGTAAGTTATAAAATTATGAACACATAGCTCTGACATTATGAACATATAGTGATAAAATTATGAACATAGAGCTCTAAAATTGTAAACATCGAGCTTTGAAAATTATGATTTTACAGTTATTACATTATGAATGTACAGTTACGGAATTATGAATGTATAGTTATGCAATTATAAATGTACAGTTATGCAATTATGAATGTACGGTTATGAAATTATGAACACAGAGCTCTGACATTATGAACTTACAATCTTATCTTACATATAATAAAGCTATATGGTTGGGAAATAATTAATGGTATAATTAATTACCAACATTATTATTATTATTACTAGCTATAATAAATATAAAATAGCCACAACATCTTTTACTAAAAAAAAACACAACATTTGAAAAATAAAATAGCTATTTTTTTTTCTCGCCCATAACAAATGATTACATTTATGAATTAATGGAGTTATTAAATGTTATGATATTAGGATTAAGGATTCCGATTTCCGATTAATAGAAAATATGAAACAATGCAATATTAGTTAAATCTCTGGCTTTACAATGAAAGTCTATTTGATATGCTTTTGTTATTTATGGTGGTTCTTGGGATTACAATATTAATTAAATTTTCAATGAAAGCTTATTCAATATTTGAAACAGTGCAATTAATGCAAGCCTCTACATATAATTTTTCTCCATCTCAAATGCTTCAAAGAAATGGCAGAAGCGAGAAGGGATGAAGAAAGCAAATGTTGCGGGCCGTGGGTTAATTATTGGACTTCAGAATTAAAAAAAAAAAATAAATCATTTAAGCCATAAATAAAAATTTAAATATATATATAAATGTATATATCGTATGGGTCTTTAATGTTTTTTGGGATGTATAAACTTAGGACTTTTAAAAGAAAAAAAAAATACATTTGGATTATCTCCACAAAAAGTGTTCTTGGACTTATAAAATGACATTTTAGTTTATGGAATGCCATGTGCATAAAGAATATATTATATAATCATATAAAAAAATATGTTCAATTATAGTATAAATTTACTCATACAAAATTTGAAATTTACTTTCTAAATGTAATTATCTTAATTATTATTCGTATTGTGAAAATTATAATATAAATGAAATACAATTAAGAATAAATCAATGTAATTATGTAAATTCTCTCTATAAGTTTATTTGAATATGTACATAATTAGAGATTATATTAACCATACAAAATTTTAATTATAATTTTGTATTCTATAAAAATAATAAATACTTGACCAATGGAAGCTCAAAAATATCATTATATTAAACAATTTAAAATATTTTTATTTTTTCTATTCTTTATTTATATTTATAATAACATAATTTTTTCCCGTGCATCGCATAGGTGAATTACTAGTATGAACATATAGTGATAAAATTATGAACATAGAGCTCTAAAATTATGAAGTTACAGTTATTGAATTATGAATGTACAGTTACGGAATTATGAATGTACAATTATGGAATTATGAACATAGAACTCTGACATTATGAACTTACAATTATGAACATATAGTAATAAAATTATGAACATATACTCCTATAACGAAGCGGTCTGAAATTTAAAAAAAAAAAAAAAAAAAAAAAAAAAAAAAAAAAGATAACAGTGCCTAACGGCACTGTTACCCGTGTCCGGCATGCTTGCTGGACACGGGTCCATAGAATAACGATTGTTGATTACAATGACAATATTAACATATTAGGATTTGATGATCATGTATTGTATTCACAAATTTCCTTTTACAATTGTTATGTGTTTTTACTTAGAAACTCAATTTATATTTTAGTCACAATTTCAATACTAAAAATATACAATTTATACGTCATTTAAGACCAGGGCTCACCTTAAAATGTGGACCTTGGTCCATAGTATAACAAATCGGAAAAAAAAAAAAAAAACAAAACAAAAAAAAAAACAAAAAAAAAACAAAAAAAAAACAAAAACAAAAACAAAACTACATCTCCCTACCCTGGATGTTTCTAAATCTCCCTAACCTAAACCTATTAATTTTATAAATTATATTTATATATTATAAATGGTGGTATTCAAATTAATTAAAATTGCCAACACAATAGAAGCTTCCTTTTAGAGGCAGTCCAATAAGGGGTTGCTTAGTGATATTGCAAAAATCAACAGCCTTAATAAATTGCCAACACCCGTAACCCACTCAAATCATTCACAAAAAATCTCCAAAAACAACTGGCCACTGCTGGAAATCACCGTTTTTCCGACCTCATTTCCGATCACCTAAAAATTTGGTCGGAAAAAGTAAATTTTTTTCATTTTTGCGACGGATGGTTAGAGTGGTCGGAAAGTGGTCGGAAATTCCGACCACATTCACTAAGTGGTCGGTAGTTCCGACCACCTTATAGAGTGGGTCGGAAATATTTTCCGGCAATTTAATCTTTTGTAAACTAATCCTATTTCCGACCACTTTGTGGTCGGAAATATTTATTTATTTATTTATTTTTTTTTTTGTCGTTGTTGTTGTTGTGGTTCAATGGTATGAATGCTACATGATTTATCTTTTTATCATTGATTATTTCACTCATATTTTTTTTTCAATTTCAAATGACCACGAAGCAGAGAGTTTACTAATAGATACCATTTCACCATTCTTACTATGAAAAATAAGATCGTGCCCTTTCCATGTAGATACAAGAAATCATTTTCTTACTTCAACTCTTTAAATCATTTATTCTTGTTAGGACTCGACAATCCTAGTTTTGTTAAGTTTCAACATTTTATATAATGTATTGTATAACATCGTGTATTGTACTACGTATTATTTTTATCACAGAATGCAAACATTCATATGCTATTATTAGTCTAGGTTTTCTCATGACATCCATTCCTGATGACTTTGCCACTATTTCTTATGAGCAAACCATGTCTGACCCTGCTACGGTGTCTCCTATAGTGGTGGTCATGGATGCTCTTTCAACGGCACAATACTTTATTTCTATCAAACTGACGTAATGGATTGTATATCATCGTGTATTATATTGTGTATTATTTTCATCACATAATACAAATATTCATCATTATAACTTGCCAAAAGTTCATACTATATCACCCATAATTTATTGAATATGCTAGAAAGAGTTAATTCCAGCAATAGTCCTCCGACTATTGTGATTTTTCAAATTTGGTCATCGTCTTTTAATTTAGACAAAATAAATCATTGACTATCAGAATTGTTCCATCATTGGTCCTTCCGTTAACCAACCGTTAAATAGATGTTAGTGAAGGGCTAAAAAGGAAATTCTTCTCTCTAGACCATTGTTGGAATTAACTCTGCTAGAAAAATGTATTATTCCTGTAAACTTAGTTTTTCTCTAACACATTTAATAAATAGTGGGGGTGCAGGGACGTAGCCAAAGAGGGGGGCTGCTGCCCCCCTTCACCCCACCCCCACCCCATATATATTTGTGTATATATGTATGTATATATAGTACATGTGTTAGTATTAGTAAAATAAAATTACTAAATATCAATAAGAGTTGATTTAGATGAGTTGGTTGAGCACATGTTGAATTATGATAAAGGATATGTGTTTGAATCTTGACAATAACATATTTTTATAATTCGTTTCAATATTTTTTTTTTCTCCTTCCCTATGGTTTTGACACAGTCACGTTTTTAATATTTAATACACACACACACACACACACACACACACACACACACATATATATAACATTATTTTATATTAATAATGAGATGTGTTTTTTTTTTAATTATCTCTTTTGTTTTAAGGTTTCGCCTTTACTGAAAAAAATTTTTGAATTCGTCTCTCCTTCTTCGCCCCCATCAACCGAATTTCTGGCTCCGTCCCCGTGGGGGTGATATTATAAATTGTAAGTCATATAGTATAAATTTTTGTAAAAAATCACGAAACCATTATATATATATACTAGTAATTGACCCGTGGGATACACGTGATATATTATCTATTCATAAATGTAAATTTGCTTGAGAAATAGATTTAGCATTTGTCCCTAACAATTTCATAACGATTTCACAATTAATAGAATATCAATGTGGTAAAGATATTTTTCAAAGATTGTACATATGTCAAAATAATAACTTGACTCAACAATCCCATCATATTTTCTATTGTCTTAAACAATTCTAACAAATAGCAAGCGCCACGATAACTTTTGTATTGAGCATCAAGCATATAAATGCAGTGTTGCATCATCTCTATGACTTTTGGTTGTAGGACCTACATTGAAAATATAAATGAAATGATACATTTTACTATACCCATGAAATGCATATTATTCCATAATAATGCAAAACAATTAATTGTTATTATATTTTATTATAATTAGTCAAAGTTTGTAATTTGTCAAATGCATAATATTGCATAATGTTTATACAAAATTTTAATGCGAAAAAAAAAATCTGCCAAATTTTCACTCCAAATTGGCGCCATTCTCAATTTAACCCCAAAATTTCGCTTATCTTCATTTCCTCAGGTTCTCCCTCCACTCCTTCACACTACTCCCTCCTTCAATCCACGCCATTCTCAGATTTTCACCCCAAAAATCTGCCAAATTTTGCCACTCTTTCACTCCTCCACTTCTCCCTCCTTCACGCTCAGATTATTTTGCCCCAATCTTTTGCCTTCCTCCTTCAATCTCCCATCCGGCCTTCCTCCTTCCTTCACGCCTCCGGCACTGGCAGCAACTCAGGACCCATCAACGGCAGCAACCCACCGGCACCATCGTCTTCATTAGCAACCCACCGGCACCATTGTCTTTCTCATAAGCAATGTTGGGTTGTTTTAATCTGTTGACCTAATCTAGATTTTTAATCGGTTAGGTATATTCATATGTATGTAGAAGATCTTTTTGTGCAGGATGTTGTATATATGAAATAGTGGAAGATCTTTTTGACCTAACTGAAGCCTGCATAACAATAAGGCATTTGTAAGTTTATTTATACTGCTTATCTTTTTTCTTGTCTTCTGTCAAGCATTCTATTGGTAGTCATTACTATTATATATATGCATTGTTGACGATTCTGGCATCTTGCATTGAATGGGTTTATGTTTTATGCTTTCAATTTTGTTATTCTCTATTTGATCCAGTTTACAAGTGAGTCATATTTGGCTTTGTTACTGCTAATATTGACTTAAAAAAAGAACCTTCAAAGTTTTATCCTATTTACTGCTTTTTGTTGTTTCATTTTTCAATAGTTTTCTTGTTTTTCTTCTATTTTTTAATTAGAAAAATGATAGAATACAGAAATGTGTTTATTTGTATCTATTTTTCAACTGAGAAAAATACCAAGTAATATTAAACTCAATTATTTTTCTTGTGAATGACTTTTAATGTTTTGTGTTGAGCAGTTGAAGTATGTAATTTGTTTTACATGTTTATGTCTTAAAATGTTCTGTGCTCACGGGTCTGAACAGCCTTTATGGCATTGGGTTGCAGGTACTTTCACCATGTTTGTTGGGCTATTGTGAGGTGTTGAGGAATACAACTTTACTTTGATAAAGGTTCATATCTGAGATAGAGGCAGTTTGCAGGCAATGGTTAGCAGATGGCTCTAGAAATTTATTGGTATGATTGTTATATTTAAAGACTTGTTAATTTAATGTTTTTGACCTTTCTACATGGCCTGCTTAAGTGCTTATTAATTTAATGGTTAGTAGTTTGTTTTTCTTTTTGCTCCTGTTTATTAACTGACAGTGATGCAGTTTAGTTGATATGGCACCATATCTAAAGATGCAATTTTAGTAGTTGTTTGAAGTGTGTTGAACAGTGTTTATGTAGTATGTATTGTAGATGAAGTTTTAGGGAAAACATTTTAGTGTGCTAATAGTTCATATGTTAGAGGACATGACAACTTATAAGTATAACTGAGTTGATGCAACTGAAAAAAGGGCTATATGTAGTTTGTTTGGTTAGTGTTGCACATTATACTCATTTGGTATCTGTGAGATATTGATCAAATCTTCAATTGAATGTCAACTTATAACTGAGTTGATGCAACTGAAAAAAATGCTATATGTAGTTTATGTCTGGTTAGTGTTGCACATTACCCATTTGGTATCTGTGCATTTTTGAAATCTTCACTCTAATGTCTGCAGTTGGTGTTGACTCTGATGCCGATAGAATTGACCTACTCTTGTCCCAAGTGGAGGGAAAAGACATTTTGCAGTCCATTTGTGTTCATTACAATTAAGAAATTTAACTTAATCTATATTTGTTGTATTTATTTATGTTTATCGGGTGAATCTTTTACTTAATCTACATCTACCTATACATCATATGAAAGTGTCTTATCTTTTGTTCCATGCTCTTTTATTAAGATGGTATACTCTTTCTTTTGCTTGCTTGACATTCAATTACTTTATGCATTTTATAGGATACTATGAAAGTTCTGGTGCAAAGGTATTAGAGGATGACATGATTGAGATCTATGACAATGCTGTGAGGCCTTAAATGTAGTTCAGGTTTCGAAACATTTCTTTTCTCTATTTTCTTTCCTTCATCATCTCTGTATCAGATAGTCAATAGGGTTCTGTGACTCTATAAGAACATTGGATCGATCATCATATATATAGCTTTAATTTTTTATTTGCCCTGTAAAAAAGAAATTCAGGCTGCATATGTTCATCACTGGTTCATCTGTGTAATGTCTTTGTAGCTTTAGTTTGAGGAGGTTTTGATGTGTCATCAATCTTCACTGCATGCATATGGAGTTTTACTTGATTGAGAATGTTTCCTTGATACATCATCTCATGCATTTGAACTAGGGGACTTGCTTTCTCTGATCTCTCTCAAACTCTTTCTCAGTTCTTGTTTCTTCAGCCCAATCTCGTTTCTGATGAAGTGATTGCACTATTACCAGATTCTGAAAGTTCCTTCACTCCTTAATCCTTATAGCTATAAGGTAATTAACTCTATTCTACTATTATTTTTGTTGTTATTGTGTGTGTGTTTTTTTACTTTCTATTGTGTATATGTTTCTTTATTCTTAAATATCAGTGGAAAAATGACATCTAGAAAGCCGACAGCAAAATTTAAAAACAAGGGCTTACACTATGATTAGTGTGTTGCATCTTTAGAAATCTCAAAAACATCTCATAAAAAGAGATGCACTTAGAATATATGTAAAAGCAGTATGTAAAATTTTGCCTAGGCAGAAACGAAAAAGTTTCCACTTTAAGTTGCTTGCTAGTCCAAATAGGTTGTTTCATTTTCCTTATTCTTCTATTACTTTCTATGTGATTGCTACATGCTAACCATAGTACTTATGGTGCTGGCTCTCTCAAACTCTCAATCTATCTACTCTACTTTTTTCTTTTGCAGTGCCAAGGTCAAAGTATGATGCTTGTGAGTTGTGACTGATTAAGCACTAGTGCCACAGATTGCATGTGAATTGTATTAAATGTATGGTTCGGTGTTGTTTATTCTTATTAGTATCATAAACTTGTATTGGTATGAAACTACTATTGGTGTTACAATTGCTATTTGCAAGTGGATAATTTGTATTTTAAATTAAATTTACAAAGCAGTGAATTTTTTTTTTTATTTTCACTTAATTATTTTCCGACCACCAAATGTGCTCGGAACTGCCAATATCACAGATATACAGAGGGTTGGAATTTCCGACGACCTGTGGTCGAAATTTTGGTCGGAAAATCTGAAATTCGCCAATTCTGTTGTGGTCGATTTTTTCCGACAACTTTACAAAAGTGGACGCTAGTTCCGACCACTTCATGTGGTGGTCGGAATTACCGACGGGGGTTTTTCCGAACCCCTCAAATGGTTGGAAAAGTGGTCGGAACAGGGTGTTCCGACCGAATTTTGGCCATTTCCGACCACTTTTTGGTGGTCGGAAAATTGGCGATTTCCAGCCGTGGGCTCACGTTTATACACTTGCCCAGCTTCTATCATTGTCTACTTATCCTCTACTTTTGGTATTCTAAGATGACAAGTGTACTTTTAAAAAAAAATAAAAATAAAAATAAAAAAAAGGATGCCAAGTGTACTTAAAAAAAAATAAAAATAAAACTTTTTATCACATATATGAATTTTCTTAGAAGAAAAAAATTATGATTTATTTATTTATTAATAAATTAACACATGCGATACTAACAGAGTGAGTATATTGTCAACTACTATGCATGTAGTGTAATAGCACTGCACCTTTGTTACCATTTCAAATGGGTGGTCATAGGGTCGAACTTCGGTGGTGTAAAAGTATAAAATAGATACTTTTACCTTGTAAAGAATCATGATAATATTTTTCTATCCTTTTATTTATTTATTTTATAATCTCAGTTTTGTCGGGCTAATCCTAAACTCATAAGACCCTATACTAGAGTTACTGCAGAATTAAATCACAAGTCATTCAATCAATTCACTGATAATGCTGCCTTCCATCGTGCCATCAAGTTAAGCAACAAACCGCTACGCTAAGCCCCAAAACTCTACTTTTCTATCTTGAATTTACTACTAATGTTCACATCTTCAATTATAAAATTTCTTGTATTTATTAATTACTCATAAATTTTAAATATTAATTTAATAATCAATGGCTACCTTTTATATATAGATATAGATTTAAGTATTTGGGAACATTTTTAAAGAGGGAGTTCTCGTCATCATTTTGACTGTGCAAATAAAGATAATATTATATAATAGTAGATGCATGTCATATTCACCTCTTCTTAGTCAAATATTCTCAACGGGGAATATAATATATATTTGAATTTATTCAAAACTTTTAAGGTAGCCTTTTGACATCGCGATTTTGTCACGTACCACTTTTACTTATTAAATTGGTGTTCATGTCAACCATCTCAAATCTTTTAGCTGGATTCACCTATAAACAAGATGTTTTGGTGTCAAATAGTTTGTAACTCAATGGTGGATTTGTGACTTTTCTAAATAGAAAGTCATAGTGGGACGTTGACTATAGACAGATGTATTATATTGTAACAGAATCAGTAAAATCAATTATATTGTGATTACTTTCTTAACTTGTACACTTTTATATTACTCCGTATTTATTATTTTAATTTTTTTAAATGTTATTTAATAAAGTTAGGACTATAATGAGAACTAAAAAAATGTTAGTTCGATTGTTTGTTGAAATGAATGGTTCATATTATTTTGATTTTTCTATTTTTTTAATTATTTTTTGTACTTTACCTTATATTATATTATTTACTTTTTCTAAATATCTCCGCGTTCTATCAGTGTATACTTTAGTAACAAGATATTTCGTTAACTATTTATTATTCTTAACTTACTCATTGATTTCAATAAGGAATGTCTTAGGTTCGAACCACATTCCAATCAGATTTGGCATAATTGTTGAACAAACTTTTCTTTTATTATTATTATCTTTTTTTTATTTTTTTTTAAGTTCAGTTTGCCATATAGTAAAAGTAAGAGTCGCAAAGCATCGGGTGATGGCATGCGTTCAACCGGCAAATTATTATGTGGACCATAAAAAAAGTACATTTTAAATATACTAGATCTATATTATTTGTATGTTAAATGTACATTATACAAAATAATGTACTTTTAGTATTCAAATAATGTAATTTCCCTGAATATAAGGTACATTTTTAATATACTAAAAGTACATTATTTTTGTAATGAATATACATTATTTGATAGTATACAAAATAATGTAATTTTAGTACTCAAACAATTTACTTTCAAATGATGTACTTTGTATTTATGATATACACAACTGTGTGGAACATGGTCCACACAATAATAATTAATTAGTTTAACCTAGCATTTGTTGTATCAATTTATTTATTCATTTTATATTCTTAAAGAAAATTATGGCTTTTTCAAAAAAAAAAAAAAAAAAATTGGCAAAATAAAATTCTTGATTTATTTTGTGGTTATTGTTCAAATATGTTGCCGGCAACTGCTCAGGGAAGAGATCTAGGAAACATGTTTATCAATACCATAAATGTTTCGTATAATAAAAATGTCTCCCTTCTTAATTCCCTTTCCAATTTTGTGGTCTTTAATTTACAAGGCCATAGTGTATGTCAACTTCATATCTCGAGGCTGTTTAATGTTAAGAAAAACGAAATCAATAAATCAAAAACAAAAAATAAAAATGAAGAAGAGTTTACATGGTTTAGCTAAGCACCTATTTTTATGGAAAGATTACAATTAGGCTTACCAGCATAATATTTATAGACAACACTAACAATATACATTTACATAAAAGTTCATTATCAAAATGATCCATTAATTATAGTGAAATTACCAATTTGATCATCGACAATTTTTTTGACAAAATCAACAACCAATACATACATACATACATACATACATACATACATACATACATACATATATATATATATATATATATATATATATATATATATATATATATATATATATATATATATATTCATTGGCTCAAAAATGATAATTTTATTATTATATTCGATATTTATTTATTTATTGTTCCAAACGAAACAAATGCATGTATCTAGTATATTTTGAAAGAAAACAGTGTGATTGAAATCATTAATTGTCTAAATCATACAAATAGCACCGAACCAAAACAGACATATATGCCACAATTTTAATGTCAAACATAACTTTTTAAATAATTAAATGATACTTATCAACATAATCAACTCAACACCCACCATATGATGGCTTATCAACTTGCAAGGGACTGCTGGCATGAAAGTGAAACCTATTTTGTCTCTATCAAAATATATATATATATATATATATATATATATATATATATATATATATATATATATATATATATATATATGAGGATGGAAAATCCTAAATATTCTTATATGAAATAATAGTCGTTCACGTGTTCTTCATTGGATGAATATAAAATATATATTTATTAAAAAAAATTAAAGAGAAAGAAAAGAGAAAAGTAATTTTAAAAATTTTTCAATTGTTTTCTTTTAGTCAGTTCAATTCCTAACTTTTTGTTATTGCAATATACTTATAATTTTTAAGTAAGTTATAATTTTAGTTTCTAAAGCAACATAATTGTTAAACTTTGTAGGATTTTACTTGGTAAATGCTTATTTTAGTAATATCATATGTTTATTCTTTATAACTCTTATCCCTTTCGTTTTAGTATTTTATTTATAAAATAGTAGACTTGATTGTAATAAGTTTGTGTAACAAGAAAATATGAAAACGTACTGAAATTGAAGAGGGAAATATTAAGGAAGGAGAATATTTTAATCTTATTTCTCTTATTATGATCTTCATTGAAAGGGAAAGAAAACTTAGCTAGTTTTTCTATTCTCGCAACTTTGACCCGTGTGTAGTATTTTGGGCACAATTCTTTTTACACATATCTGATATAGTTGATTAAGATAACATTGGAAAGGTAACTCATGTGGCTACATCTTAGAAGAAACAATTCTAAAATTCGAATAGTAAAATACTCAAAAATTCTGTTGAAGCCAGACTAGATAATATGTCAAGTTTAAGTTCCTTATATTTTTCCTTTTATACTTGGGAAGTTTTAATATTCAATTATACAAGGATATAGTTATAGTTGGGGTTCATATGGTTACTATAGATTTCTAGAGATGCTTTGAGAACTATAGGGGGCAAAATTATATTATTCTGGCAAGGGATTAAATAGTAGATTACTCAAAGGCTTTTTTTAGGTACTATACAACGGAGGCTACAATATGACATCGAGGAAATTGGTATCCAATCTTTATGAACTAGAGTAGTCTAACTTTGCAATGCGAGTTGCATATGAAAGCAAGAGGGATCTTGCAGTACAAAGGAGTTGTAATCTCAATTCCTAGGATATTACGTAAAGAGATGCAACAAGTGTTCATACTTCATGCTTGTTTGTATAAGTTTCCATGTATTATGTAATTAAAATGGATAGTGAATTGAACTTTATTTTAGGCTAGGCCCTCATAGATTCAACCACATTAAATTCTTGGTGTCTTAATTTTATTTATGCATTTTCGTTTTATTTATATGTTTGTTTGCACCTCATGATTAATTATAATTATCCTAATTGAATATATATATATATATATATATATATATATATATATATAGGAATATTGATAATAATTATGAGAATAATCATACACCATGTTGTAATTTAACTTGATTGTTTTTCATACAATATTTAATGACACAATTACACAAATAGATTGCACATACACATACTGTAGTGCTCACTATAGCTCACAAAATTGATCTGAGGCTAAAAATTATTAACATATTTATATCAAAGACAGAGTTTATTTCAGAGGGTGTAAAGAGAAAAATAAAAAGTTACTAAAATACCCAAGTACTAAATAAAATTCTAATATAGTTTAATGGTCCTATTGTTCCAAGAATTAAAACTACAACTTATTTGAAATAATCTCTTCTCTTTTTTTTTTTTTTTTTTTTTTTTTTTTTCACTTTTGGTCTCGATCTCAACTATTATACACATTCCACATTTTATCATTAGCTATCAGTTTGTTTTTTCACATTTGATCGAAACTACCAAATTTCTCATGATAAATTTCAATTCAAGAAATTGAT